AGATTGGAGAAGCTTGCAGTGGAGAGGAAGAAAAAAGACAGAAAAAACAGAGGAAAATTGTGGAGAAATCGCAGAATGGGGGGGGGGACGGGCGAAACGCAGGGAAGAAGGCTGCATGCAGCCTTATCCAGACCGATCCCGGTCCGAAAAACACTGTCAGTGGGACCTAGTGTCCAATCAATTCAGAGATTCCTTGACTCAAATTTTTAGACAGGGATCGGTCCGTATATATACGGACCGATCCCGATCCGTATAATAAATTAATAAATACGGACTGATTTCGGTCCGTATATTTTCATTAAAAATAATAATTCATTCATAATTTTTGTTATTTAATCTTTATTTTTTATGAAAAATAATAAATATACGGACCGAAATCGGTTCGAATATAAAAATGAAATTTCGCATTCTCTAATGGATATATACAGATCGAAGCCGGTCCGTATATATTTATTTAAATAATATTTTATTCATATTTTTTGGTATTTAATATTTATTTTTTTCAAAAATAATATTCGGACCGAAAACGGTCCGAATATTATTGGTGCGTCTATACTGTGGATTCCTGCAAGAAATATACGGACCGATACTGGTCCGAATATGTTCATTAGTATATTTTGTTCCACCTGAATATATCCGGACCGATATTGGTTTGAATATTTATTTTTTCGGACCGACACAATTCGGTCCGTATATATTCGGTCCGTATACGTCGTTTTTCTAGTAGTGCGTCCAGGAAAATGAGCCTTGGTAAAGAGGTCTGCCAATTGATCAGCGGAGCCAATGAAAACCAAATGAACAATTCCTTGTGCAACATGATGGCGAATAAAGTGACAATCAACCTCAATGTGTTTAGTGCATTCATGAAAGACATCACTATGAGCAATCTGCATAGCACTTTGATTATCACAATATAAATCAGTAGAAGAAGGTTGAGGAATGCCCATATCTTCAAGAAGCCACCGCAATGAAAGAAGTTCTGATGTGGTATCCCCGAGAGCTCTATACTCAGCTTCAGTACTAGAGCGAGATGGAATAGTTTGTTTCTTACTCCTCCAAGAGATAAGAGAATTACCAAGGAAAAAACAGTAACCAGTGGTAGATCTACGATCAAAAGGATCACCAGCCCAATCAGCATCAGAGTAAGCGCGAAGCACAGGGGAGGAGTTGGTAGAAAATGGAGTCCATGAAATAATGTTCCCTTAACATAGCGAATAATGCGAAGTACTGCTACATAATGAGTGGAGCGAGGAGCAGTCATAAACTGACTAACAATATGAACTGCATATGCTATATCAGGGCGTATCGTAGTAAGATAAACCAGACTACCAACCAATTGCCGATAGCGAGTAGGATCAGAAAGTGGAAAGCCATCCATAGGTGTAAGCTTGACATTAGGTTTAAGAGGTGTAGAAACACTTTTACCATCATTGAGTTCAACTTTAGAAACAAGATCGGAGGCATACTTTACTTGAGAAAGCATGTAGCCATCATGTGAAGAGGTCACTTCAAGCCCCAAAAAATCGCTTAGAACACTAAGATCTTTTATCTCAAATTTCTAACTGAGAGATTGTTTTAACTCCTCAACACCTGCGACATCATCTCCAGTAATAATCATGTCATCAACATAAAGAAGTAAAAGGACCATATCCTAAGCAGTCTTACGAATGAACAACGCTGTATCATGAGGACTGGAAGTAAAACCAAACTCACTTATAGTTGCACTAAACTTTGCATACCAGGTTCGAGGGGATTGCTTCAATCCATATAATGCACGACGCAATCGACATACCTTGTTCGGAGGATGGTTGAGCCCAGGAGATGGTTTCATATAAACTTCTTCTTCTAGGTCACCATTAAGAAAAGCATTTTTCACATCCATCTAAAACAATTTCCATCTCCGCATAGCAGCAATAGCAAGCAAACTACACATAGATGTAAGACAAGCAATTAGAGCAAATGTTTCCTCATAGTCGATCCATACTCCTATGTAAAACCCTTGGCAACCAAGCGTGCCTTATAACGCTCCACAGAACCATTAGATCATGTTTTGATCTCGTACACCCATTTATAGCCTATTAGAGATTTTTCAGCAGGGAGATCAACTAAATCCCATGTACAAGTGTTCTTAAGAGCTTGTAATTCATCTTGCATAGTTTGTTGCCAAAGAGGGTTATAAAAGGCATCTTGATAGGATTGAGGCTCATGTAACGAAGTACTAGCAGGAAAACAATGATAATCACGAAGGTAGTTGGGAGGGTTTCTTACCCGAGTAAGATGACTCGAGGATGGGACAACAAGCTCATTTGTAGAATCAACAGGTGATATAGACGAGGAAGTAGAAGAAGGCTCAAAATTATCTAATGCATTACCAGCAAGCAGATCATCTTCTACATAACTAGTTGAAGCATGTGGTGAGGCGTTGTAGAGCTCTTTAGATGTACCTACATTAAAATCACTAGGAAATAGCTCAATAAAAGGATTAGTAAAAAAATGGAGGTTGATGAAAGGATGACACTTTGAAGTTTGACAATGATGAGAACATAGTGTGTTCCCAAAAGACAACATGACGTGAAACTAGGAGTTTTTGTGTCACAGGATCCCAACAACGATATCTTTTTTGTGTAATTCCATAACCCAAAAAACAGCATAATCAAGCTCTAGGTTCTAACTTATTATATTCATGAGGTGGAAGAAGAACAAAACATGCACAACCAAAAACCTTAAAAAGATTATAAGCAGGAAGAATACCATGTAGACGCTCGTATGGAGACTGGTTATTGAGGACCGATGATGGAATGTGATTAATAAGATAAATAGCTGTAAGAGTAACTTCACCCCAAAATCGCTCTGGACAAGAAGATGAAATGAGCAAAGCACGAACAGAATCAAGAATGTGTCTGCATTTGCGTTCGGCTCACTCATTTTGTTCAGAAGTATAAGCACAAGACTATTGTGGCAGTGTACCCTGTTCTTTTAAAAAGGATTGAAGTTTAGTACCAAGATATTCAATAGCATTGTCAGTTCTCAAAACTTTGATAATTTTAGAGAACTGAGTTTTGACCATGATAGCAAAATCAATATAAATTTGTGATAATTCAAAGCGACTTTTCATAAGGTATATTCAGGTAAAACAAGTATGATCATCAATAAATAACACAAAGTACCTGGAACCCCTCATGGTGGGTATAGGAGATGGACCCCAAACATCAAAATGCACAATATCAAAAGGAGCAGTAGAATGAGAATGACTACTTGAAAAAGATAAAGCTGGTTGCTTTGCAGATTGACATGACACACAATGCATAAATTCATTCAGAACTGATCCTAATAAACCACAAGAGATAAGTGGACGAAGTTTACCAACTGAGGTATGTCCAAGTCGTGAGTGCCACAAATGGAGAGAAGAAATGTTAATAGCAACACAAGCTTGGAAGATTTGTTGATATGGAATTTGCAAATACTCTAATTCAACAGCACAAAGTAGGGTTTGGATGAATCGATCACTTGGAAATGATGGTGTATCCATTTTTTTATTAGGAATATTGTAATACCCCAAAATTTTCAAGAACAAATAAGTGTGAGCTAGGGACCTAATTGTGAGAAAATAAAATTGTTGAACTTAACCATCAAATTTTCAAAAGTCAAGGGGCTTAAAAAGACAATAAATTAGGATAAGGATTAAGCTTAGATATTTTTCTTTTCTTCCTCATTTTCACGCGGGTCTGCTCTGTCTTCTTCCCGATCCTTCCTCCCGAAAAGCCCCCAAGCCACCGACTTTCTCCCCTTGAAAAACCCGGTGAAGGCCTCTTGAAATTTCCCTCCTTTCTTGCTCAAGAACCAAGTCTCAAGCCTAGAACTCTCTCTCTCAACCCAGAAATTTCAGATCTGCTCTGTGTCTTCCTCCCTTTGCCGTCTGCGAGCTGCTCTTGCCGGTGAGAGTGCTTCAGTTTTGGTAAGGGAACAACCATGAAATCATCTCTTAAGCTTTGATTTATGTGGGTTCATCCTAATTTTGTTCTTTCAATTGCTAGTAGTGGTTCCCGTGCAAGCCTCCCCAATTTTCCCGCTGGCTCTTCCTCATACAGCCAGCTCCAGCCTTGCTTGCTAAGGCTTTTTGGTAGGTTAGCTCCTCTAATCTCTGAAAAATTTGTCGATTAATGGATGCGTTGTGAGTTGATTGGTTGTATGGGTGTTTGGGTTGTCCAAAAATAATCTGTCGGAGGTGGGGGATGAATTTTGGCGATTTGAGAATGGGTTTTGGTCGATGATTTATGAAGAAAATCCTTAAATTTGGCTGTTGTGTGTGTTCGAGAGAAAAAAGAGGAAAATTCTGTGAATTGGCCATTTTTTGTCAAGGCCGGTTCTCCCAATTCCTGTCCATGAGTTTGAAAATTTGTATATGTGTAATTATATATTTGTATATATGTAGATAAATACCCAATCCCGGTGAATGCTCAATTTTCGGATAGAAAAGTAAAAATGAAAATAAATAAAGAAATAAAATTTCTTTATAGATATTAATTCGGAAATATTGTGATTAGGTCCTTGATCGTCTTGTGACCTTAGCACTTGGGTTAGGCCTCCTGTCCTTTGCAATTAAGGTAAGTAAATTTATGGTAATACCCATACAGTTTTTAAAAGCATGTTTTGATTTGTTTTTGAAGTGGTGGCGGGACTAAACCCGTTTTACACATGATTGATTGAAATGAAATTTTTTATGCTTTTCATTAAATTGAGCATGCTTACTTGAAATGTAATTGATTGTCCTGATGATTTGAAAGTGATTAGTCAAGTATGATTTTTCTGTTAACTTCAGCCTGTTTTGTCTCCGATGTGGTCATGTTATTAGTGACCCTGCTAGTGGGGATTATACGCTAGCACATGTCGACATGTTAGTGATAGAACCGGTTCGCTCGAGTGACCCTGCTAGTGGGGATTATACGCTAGTAAATAGTGCACCTGCCAGTGGGTGTTAAACGTTGGCCATGATCTATAGAGGAGACGTCTATTTTGTTCCCGTACTATATCCATTTTTCGTGATTACACTTGTTGGCATGCTATGAGTTTAATAATGGGCACTCCATATTTTACTTACTGAGTTTATCTCATAGTTTTCCTTGTCCACCATTTCAGGTAGTGAGACCCGACGCAGGGGGAGCCTGGGAGAGTGACGAGCTAGACGGCTAAGCACTTTTGGACTTAGATTTTTGTAGCTAGGCCGCTAGTCACCATGCTTGATTTACAAATTTTGTGTACAGAACTTCCTTAGTTTTAGTTATGATCGTATTTATGAAGTGATAAATTTGTACATCTTGACTGGTAAATATTTGGTAAATAAAAAGGTTTAGATATGAATTGTCTGAATTGCTACGTAAGAATTCAGTAGGTTCCGAGCCTTCTGCATTTGTGGGCCCTGCTCACGAGTGCACGGTGTCTGTCTCGCTTCGGGGTTTGGGGCGTGACAGATTTTGTGGTATCAGAGCCTAGGTTAAATTAAGAGCCTAAGACTAGTCTAGAAATTGGCTAGCAAATTAGTTAGAGGAACATGGTGAGGCATGAGAGTGGGGTTGATTAAGGGCGCTTGTTTGATTTTCTTTAATGTGTGGATTTTTTATTTATTTTATTTGTGTTGCTTGGTCCCGGAAGTGAAAACTTGTCGGGAAATTCTCTTTGGAGCATTTGATTAATAGTCTATACACCTTTTATGTGGTTATAGATGGCTCCAAAATGGCGTGGGTGCCCAAGGGGTAGCCGTAAGGATTAGGGCACTCCTCCGATCCCAGCTGCCAACCCCTCTACCCAAGCTGCTCTGCAGGAGGGAGGGACGAGCAATCCTCAGTTGGCCACCTTTGTTCAGGAACTTATGGCGGAGATAAGACGCCAAATATCTCCTGCCACAAGTGTGCCACCTCTATCCCCCGATGGTATCCACTCCTACGGCCCCTGCCCCAATTTCCCCTGTTCCTATTTCTTTTGCTCCTGCGGTGCCTAGCTGGAAGGTCTATACAGAATTCTAGAAGTTGGTGACCAAGAGATTTGATGGTACTGCAAGTTTTGAGCAGGTGGGGTCGTGGATCACCGAGGTGGAGCGGGGATTCCGCCTATTGCCAGTTTCTGATGACCTTAAGGTCAATGTAGGCAGTTACATGCTTACTAGGAAGGCATTAACTTGGTGGGAGAGTTATCTGAAGCTACACCAAGGAGAGCCGGAATTTAGCACCTGGGATGGTTTTAAGAAGGTGTTCATGCAAGAGTACATCCCAGATAGCAGAAGGTAGGAACTACAAAGGGAATTTGCAGATTTGAAGAAAGGGTCAGGTACTGTTGAACAGTACAAGGAGGAGTTTGACCGCTATCTGCCTTTTGTGGGTAGCCAAGTTGGCGATGAGCAAGCCAAGGCCGACAAATTTCTGTGGTTCTTGAATTCCGATATTTATTTGGCGGTAAACCAATTTAAACCCGCCACTTATCGGGAGGCAGCGGATAGAGCCATAGACCAGGAGAAGGCTATGGCTAGGGTCAAGTCCTTGGGGCAGCACGATATTGGGTCATCCCTGGGGAAGAGAAAATTCGATGGGAGCCATAGGCCCTTTGTCCCTGCACCGCCTAAGTCTGAGGTCAGCAAGGGTTCTAAATGGTTAGGAGCTACCAAGACTGGGGGCCAGGCATCCACTGCTCAACGTGCTCGCCCTACTCCACCTACTTGCACTGCTTGTGGGAGGGTTGGGCACACCCGTGACCAGTGCCACGTTGTTACTGGAGCTTGCTTCAAATGTGGCAAGCAAGGACATCAGATTGCAAATTGTCCGCTGCTAGACCCCAGAGCTCAAAGTACTCAATCTACATCTCAGTAAGGGTCTACCAATTAGGGGGCACCGAAACAGAAGTCGGGGTTAGGACAAGAGCCCAACAAGCAAAAGCCCAAGCCCATCAGGCAAGAGTTCACGTGATGACCCATCAGGAAGTTGCGGCTACCGACGCAATCACGGGTACTTTGCCTGTCAACTCTGATTTTGCACATGTTTTATTTGATTCGGGTGCATCGCACTCCTTTATTGCTCGATCTTATGCTTTGAAACGAGTTTTGCCTGTTGATACCTCTGATTTTGAATTGCACGTGGACACCCCTTTAGGAGGGGTGATGACTACTAGAGATGTGTGTAGAACTGTGAATATCTATATTGATGGTAGACAGTTGAGTGCTAGTCTGTTTATTTTAGATGTCTCCGATTTTGATATCATTTTGGGGATGGATTGGTTGTCAAAACATTTTGCCTCTATAGACTGCCATCTAAAATGGGTAATTTTTAATATTCCTGGTGAGCCAGAATTTAGTTTCCAAGGCAGTGGCTCTTTTGCTCCACCCATGCTAATATCTGCCTTGCAGGCTCAGAAATATCTTGTAAATGGTTGCTAGGGTTTCCTAGTCTCCGTTACTGACGCTAGTAGTGTGACATTGAGACTAGAAGACATACCGGTGGTGCGTGCGCTTCCGGATGTATTTCCGGAGGATCTCCCAGGTTTACCTCCGGATGGAAAGGTTGAATTTGCTATTGACCTTATTCCTGGCACAGGACCTATTTCCAAAACACCATACTGTATGGCTCCTACAAAATTGAAGGAGTTAATGGTCCAGCTTGAGGAACTCCTTGAGAAAGGGTTTATACGCCGTAGTGTGTCACCTTGGGGAGCTCTAGTGTTGTTCGTCAAGAAGAAGGATGGGAGCATGAGGCTATGCATTGATTATCGGGAATTGAATAAGGTGACTGTGAAGATCCAATATCCCCTTCCTAGAATTGATGACTTGTTTGACCAGCTCAAGGGTGCTCAGGTATTCTCTAAGATTGATCTTCGATCTGGTTACCAACAGTTGAAGATTAAACCGGATGATGTGTCAAAGACTGCCTTTCGCACCCGTTATGGTCATTATAAATTCCTAGTTATGCCTTTTGGCTTAACAAATGCCCCTGCCAGATTTATGGACTTGATGAATCGAGTCTTTAACCAGTACCTAGACCAGTTTGTGGTTGTCTTTATTGACGACATTTTGGTCTATTCTTCTAGCCATGCTCTTCATGAAAAGCACTTAATGACAGTTCTCAAGACGTTGAAAAGTGAGAGGCTGTTTGCTAAATTTAAGAAGTGTGAATTTTGGCTAAACAATGTTGCATTCCTAGGTCATGTGGTGACTAAGGATGGAATCTCTGTTGACCCCCAGAAAATTGAGGCCGTGGTGAATTGGAAAAGGCCGAATAGTGTCGCAGAGATTAAGAGTTTTCTGGGATTGGTTGGTTATTACCGTCGATTCGTGGGGGATTTCTCCAGAATTGCTCTGCCAATGACTCGTCTGATCAAGAAGGATGCCAAGTTTGAGTGGACTCCAGAGTGTGAGGAGAGCTTTTTGACCCTGAAGTAGAAGTTGGTCACTTCTCCTGTACTTGCACTTCCAATCCATGGGGAAGGATTCACCATATATAGTGATGCCTCTAAAAAGGGTTTGGGATGTGTCTTGATGCAAAAAGATAGGGTTATTGCATATGCGTCTTGGCAGTTAAAGCCTTATGAAGAAAATTACCCTACCCATGATCTGGAGTTGGCGGCTGTGATATTTGCACTCAAGATCTGGAGGCATTATCTGTATGGTGAGATTTGTGAAATCTTCACTGATCACAAGAGCCTTAAGTATATTTTCACTCAAAAGGAGCTTAATATGAGGCAGAGGCAATGGCTTGAACTTTTGAAGGACTACGACTTGACCATTAGCTACCATCCGGGTAAAGCTAACAAAATAGTAGATGCGTTGAGTAGGAAGTCCTCGGGCGCTGCCTCTAGCATCCTTGCCACTCAGAAGGAGCTACTTGAGGATCTGGTGAAACTGGATGTGGAGTTGAGAGTGGACAGCACTACGGCTTATCTAGCCGCTCTCAGTGCACAACCAGCATTAATAGATAGAATTAAACTTGCCCAGCAAAAAGATCCTTTCTTACAGAGGATGAAGGAAAAAGTAAGAGCCGGGGAATCCCACATGCAAGAATTCAGAGTTTCTAATGATGAGATTTTGTGGTTTGGTAACAGGCTATGTGTACCAAGAGATCATGCTTTAAGGCGTGAGATTATGGGAGATGCCCATTATACTAACTATACAATTCACCCAGGTAGCACCAAGATGTATCGCGATTTACATAGTACATTTTGGTGGCGGGATATGAAGAGGGAGATAGCTAGGTTTGTCTCACAATGCTTGACTTGCCAAAAAATCAAGGCTGAACACCAGAGACTTCCTGGAAAACTACAGCCTCTACCTATTCCCCAGTGGAAGTGGGAGAACATCACCATGGACTTTGTGACCGGGTTACCACGAACCTTGAAAGGTAATGATTCCATTTGGGTCATCGTTGATCGATTGACCAAATCAGCTCACTTCTTACCCTACCGGACTGGCACCTCCATTGAAAAGCTTGCCAATATATACATGGAGGAGATAGTCAAGCTGCATGGAGTCCCGGTGTCTATTGTGTCAGATAGAGATACCAGATTTTTATCTCATTTCTGGACAAGTTTACAGCAGGCACTTGGTACTCAATTGAATTTCAGCACGGCCTTCCATCCTCAAACTGATGGGCAATCTGAGAGAACTATTCAGATACTTGAGGACATGTTGAGGGCTTGTGTTCTAGATTGGAAGGGTTCATGGGATCA